CATGTTGAGGGTGGCGAGCAGACCGTCTGGGCTCCCCGTCTCTCCGTTCCACCTCTCTGGGAGACTAAAGTGCGGCCCCTCTGTTGGTGGAGCGAGGGCTTGCTGCTGGAGAGCATGGAGGGCTGTGGATAATTGTAGGATGAGATCGGTCTGGGAGTTTTGTTTGGTGTGGAGCCGATCGATCAGGGCGTGGAGCTGAATGAGTTCATTTTCCATTTGCTCCATCTTTCTTTTCATGCGCTCGAACTCCGCTGTATCTACGGACTCAGTCATCCTGTCACGATGGTCGACTGGGTACGGGAGTTGAACTCGGTAAGGATGTTTGACGTCTGGATTATTCGGTAGAGAACTCTGATCAGGGGTTTCAATGAAACGATGACTGAGTGAAGAGCCGGTGCGGCGTCTTCCATATATAGGCTTGGGTGTGACTGGGAGAATGCCGGGAGTTCCCGCGAGGAGCATGCTGGGAAATGTGGTCCAAGATGGAGGCCGGTTAGCTGGGAGAGGCCAGTCTGGGGGCTTGGGTTCTGACACAGAGGGAGGTGGTGGCCCATAAGTAGGCCTAATTGGCATCACGCCGTTATCCCTCAGCACTTTAATGACCAAGTTTAAAAATGTAAACAGAAAACACGACACTCTTCTGCTCACGCCACTGAAAGCAGGGTTTAAAGATTAACAATTTGTGACTTGTGATGCTGTCCAATTATTCTTTAAAAGGATGTGATTTCATCCTAAGGTCACGCGGGAAGAACAACACTGGAGTGCTTCTTTTGACGTTTAAACAGTTATAATTAAACGTAAACTTGTGTCACATAAAAATGCTCAGCTTCTCGTTTCCTGCTGAAGATTTTTCTCATAAATAAAAGAAAATGATGAGATTTAATGGCAGCAGGCAGAAGAAAAAGTCCATGCAGTCATTACAAGCATCGGGTCTCATTTGATCAGTCGTCTGCGACTCCAAATTTAGCCTTCACAGTCTCACCTAAATCAAGTCCTCCTGACACCAGAGGTCATCGATCAGCGCTGTGAGCCTATTCCCACCACCGTTTCTCAAAGGGCGAGCACATTAAACTTGGATTTTACACGCAGCTGCTGACAACTTTTCAGAAAAATGCATCAATTATTTAAACACCTATTAATATAAATCAGATTACTAATGAACAAAGGCTGTCTCGGTGGATGGTAAATCTCCCTGAAATATCTTTTTACCTGACGTGTTCATCTGGATTATGTGTGAAGTACGTTGTTCCAAATAACATATCACCTGGAAAAACAAATCAGAATGGTTGATGAATGCTGACTCGAAGAAATTCATTTTAAATTTGAATACTTGTTGCAAGCTAGCAATCAGAAACATTTGTTTCTGTAAGTGACTATGAAATATGTAGAGAAAAAACCGTTTCCACGGCACCTTTCAGCCCCACCAAGCACATCTTTTATGACAATAAGCAGCAGGAGAAGAAATGTTCAACATTTGCGGTAATCACAGACCGGTTGGATCCCAGATGGAGCCGCGACAGCCGAGCTGCAGCGTGTCGTTTATATTATGCAATATAAGTCGCTAATTCTTGCCCAACTAATTACACAGCCAATTAAATCAACATTATGAGGAATATCTGACAACTCGTTAGGGTGTGTAGAGACAAGCTGAGCAGCCTTGAATTATGTAAAATCGGTGGAAGGTCCAGATGTTATATTAAGTTGCTTTAATGTGACTCATCCTCCAAGTTACTGCTAATGTTCTGTATAGTTCAGGAACGCAAGGTAAGATGTATGCTAGTAAGTTTTTTAAATCCTGCAGAAATGAAGAAATGTGTTTGCAAGAAATCACAAAAATAGTATCGCCCTCTAGCACCTCTTAGCAACAGGTGATAATGTTTGAGACTCACCCAGTTTGAGCTGCTAGTATACATTTGTACACGTCTGAGTGTGCAACACGGAAAACAGTAAAGTGCTTGAGTCATTTTATCTTACTGAATCCTGGCCGCTGCTGTTTGATCACAAGCACTTAACTCATAACTACAATATTTCAGGCAGTACATAAAAGCACCACAACTCCCTCAAGCATGATATCATACTCACTCACTAGCAAAAGGTGATTATGTCAGACATGGTTTTACATGACTGTTCACTTATGCAGATTAAAAATTGTGGAGAAGAACAATGTTTAATGTGAAAACTCCACCAATCCTGACATTAAAACAGAATAAGGAACACGTGTACTCAAACATTAATGATAAAAGCTACCAATGCAAAAATCATTATTGCTTTTTTTAAATCTTTTATGTTATAGATTTCTGTTACTTTATACAACCCAACATGTTAACAGAGTAGCAGTAAAAAATGTGGAACATAATGAGAAAAAGGTTGACAATCCTGCTAATTAATCTTTGATTCATTCAAATTTTCATCAGAAAAGCTGAAGAAAAGAGGTCATTCCTTCAGAGAAACTTGCATTGTGGCCAGGAAGCCTCGCCTCCGACTCTGCCATTTACAGTGGACACAGTTTCTTTCTTCCCCCTTGTTCCATAATAGCAGTGATTTATCAGAACCTCACAAATAATGAGTTTTATTGATTGCCATTAGACTGGGGACACGGAGACCGAGCGCTCATCTCAGAGACACGTGGAGAGAAGAGACCAGGACACAATGAGCAGCAAATGCCTCACGGAGCAGGAAAACCTTATCTGAGGTCCAGAAAAGGGAGGAAACGAATTATCAACTATGAACAATCCACTAAAAGTCCAACGGTTGGGGCACAAATGGGGAGGGGGGTCCTCCGACACAACCTGCCACATTTTACAGCACAGACAACTGCACAACACACACACACACACACACACACACACACACACACACACACACACACACTCACGCACACACACACACACACACACACTTCCTCTTATAGTGAAACCCTTTGCTTGCTAGTTGCTTAGCAACTAAAACACTTATTCATATGGCACATACTGTAAGCACCTGACACCGCATTTCTGACTCTTTGGAGGAAGACTGATCTGTGAATAGAGGGTGAGAAGAAGACAGGACAAAATGAAGAGCAGAGGCATGAAAAGGGACTGGATGTGAGTGGGTGACCACCGACAGCCGACTCCCACCGAGTAACGCTACAGGCCGGAGGAGCTCATCAACTCTGTTTGGCTAAAGTCGAAGTAGTAAAACACAATCTGACTGCTCTCTTTTACGCACTGGTAAAAATAAATGCATCCTGCCTTTTCTTCATGTTAATATTCCTGTTCAGTGGATGCTGAGGAGTAATCACAGCAAGCAAAACAACATTTTATAGTTTAAGTTTATAACATCAAATCCTGTAGCTCAAAAGAGAAGACTTGCTGCTTTCACATTAATAATCTATGTACTGAAGTGATTATGTAATGATGCACAACAGGACTATAATCACACAATAAATTAATTGTGAGCAGCTTCAGCCAAAGCGCAGAGAGGAGATGGGTGTGCTCCTGTAAAAGGTCAGCACCACCCTGGAAACTGGTGCAGAAACACACAAACTAAATGATCCTCCTCTGGCACCTGCATCGGCTAATTCATCACTTCCTAAACCCGCATGATGAAGAGGGGGAAATAATGTCAAAACATCAGAAACACTGCTTTCCTTTTGGCTGCAGCACTAACAGCTCCAGCAGTGAAGAGGCTAAGAAATATTCCCAAATAAGAATCTGTACAAAAACAACAACCCAGAAACTGCTGCAGTGGACTATCCATTAAAACAGCAGGCTGAAGCAGGCACAGCCCATCTATATGCATCATCATTGTCCTGATACTCAATATCTGAGATAGGATTGGGCGTGTTCTAGCCGCCTCGTTCACAAACTAGTTTTAGGACTACAACTACTACTACTACTAATACTAATAATAATAATAATGATAATAATAATATGTATTCATAACGTACTTTGAATCAAAGTGCTGCACAGTTGCAAATAACAATCATAAAAAAAATAAAATATAAAAACTGAACTCCATACTAAACATGAACACAATTGTCCATTGGTGAAAATGTTTTAAAAAAAGTATATTTTGTGTGTGTGTGTGTGTGTGTGTGTGTGTGTGTGTGTGTGTGTGTGTGTGTGTGTGTGTGTGTGTGTGTGTGTGTGTGTGATCCAGCAAGCTAGTCATCCTTTTCGAGGGTTAAACGGTGCATTAATAATGTCAAGGAAATTCAGATATCCTCAAATGTAGTGAGAGAAGGCTGCAACAATGCCCACCAGAGCTCTGTGTGTCCTGTAAATTTTACTTTGAAGGTACTGGTAACTTGTACTTCTGGGAGACGTATTCACTGAAAGCAGTCGATTAAAAAACATGCAAGAGTTATCTTTGTGAAAAGACTGATTTCCACATGGAGCTCTGCAACCAACCTGTGGCTCCAGGGCCTCAGGTGGCCTTTTTGTAGCTTTGACCGAAAACATGAAAAATCTTTTTTTTACCCAAACAGATTATTAAAGCTATTTTCCATTTCATTGTTCATTTTTTAATCCAAATGCTTTAAAGTTTGTCGTCCTGTTCATTAATCCAACTCCCAGACATACGTGTGATGCAGGTGGTTTATTATTTCAAAATGCAACACTTACTATATCCCACAAATAAAGATTAATTATAGGTAAAGGTTGTCATTTTATCCAAATCTTTTTTATGTGAAAATCCCAATAAATGTTAGTAACCCTAGCATGTTGTTTAAGACCCTTAAGTTGTTCATGGCTGGTGTAGCTCTGGGAACATTTAGGGTAAAGAGGCGCTCAAACCTCCTACCAGTGTTTGGTTTGGGGGTAAAATCTGTGCTGTGCCTCCTGAAGCAGGCCCGGAGGAGTTTATTATTATTCAGAGTCATGCACAGTAATCACTGATGATGGGGCCTTAGCACTGATTTAATAACAAGCTTGTTTCATAAATCAAACTGACGACACGCTGTTGTCGCGCACTGATTCCCTTTCATAAAACCAGGAGTCCCACTGAGGATCGTGCCTCACCTTCTTTTTGGCGTTACAGTGGCAGCACACGGTCCACAGATATTTGAGGGTTCTCCACAGCAGGATGATGAAGAGACCCCCAAAGAAAGTCACCATGGAGGAGGCGAGAAAAGCCCACCACATCTTCTGGTTTGCAATGTCACAGCGCACATCGTGCGACGGGACGAACAACGTGAAGTGGTCTGACGGGTCCTTGACGGCGGGTCCTCCTCCGTTTTTCGCCATTATTGACTTGTGGTCACCTGCCATCCTCCAGCAGAAACAATCAGGTCAGAGATTCAGGTGCTTCTCGGAGCCCCAGCCAGCGCCCCCTGATGCCCCGACGGCTCACTCATGTTTAGACCATCCACCCTCCTCTGATCCTGCCTCTCCGTGGTTCCAAAGTTGGATCAACACCAGGCACACGGGGAACAATTAAAAAAAAATAAATAAAAATAAAAACTTCAGGAATCCAGAAATCAGTCGCGCGTTCGCGGGAAGAGTTGCGCGCAATCCGTTTGATCGGTGCGAAAAATCACATTGTGTACAAGCCTTAAAAAGGGCGATATTTTATCATCTTCCTGCGGCTGACTGATATTATTGCAGAAAAAGGCTGGTTCTCCTCTCCGGCCGACGATTCACTCACTCCTCCACCTTGTTTTCAGCAACTCCTCTTTTGCGCACTGTTGAATGCGCTCCTCAGATTAAAGCTCGCCGTTCCCCCCTCGCGCACATCTTCACACCCCTCCTCTGAAACACTGTTTTAGGAATAAAGACGTCGGTAAATGCGTCTCTCCAGTAGTAGCCCGTCACATCCATTAGCTGGAAGATGGCATGGCAGATTTACAGGTATCGGGGGAGGAGCCATCAACAGCAGACGTAGAGATATTTATAGGGACCAGTTCATCAATGGTTTATGACCAACTTTGTGGCAACACATTTTCAAAGTGTCTTAAAGAAACGTTTATGACGTGGAAATGTAATAAATTTCCAACTTAATTTTTGCTTTCAATTATCTTAAATTGAGTCTTAAAAGTTTCCTTCCCAGCCTAGCATCTTTGTTTTCATTCATCTTTTGTATGATTTAAAAACCAACAGTGACTCGGAAAAGGGTAGAGTGCCTTCCAGGTCAGGGATGAGGTCCTGCCCCAACTGGAGGAGTTTAAGTATCTCGGGGTCTTGTTCACAAGTGAGGGGAAACTGGAGCGTGAGATCGATAGGCGGATTGGTGCTGCATCTGCAGTGATGCGGGCATTGTACCGGTCTGTCGTGGTGTAGAGACCTGAGTCAGAAGGCGAAGCTCTCGATTTACCGGTCGACCTACGTTCCTACCCTCACCTATGGTCATGAGCTTTGGGTAGTGCCCGAAAGAACGAAATTGCGGATACAAGCAGCCGAATGAGTTTTCTCCGAAGAATGGCTGGGTTCTCCTTTGGAGATAGGGTGAGAAGCTCGGTCATTTGGGAGGGGATCGGAGTAGACCCGCTGCTCCTCCACATCGAGAGGAGCCAGTTGAGTTGGCTCGGGCATCTGGTCAGGATTCCTCCTGGACGCCTCCCTGGTGAGGTTTTCCGGGCACGTCCAACCGGAAGGAGACATAAAGGTAGACCCAGGACACGGTGGAGGGACTCACCTGGCCAGGGAACGCCTTGGGATTCCCCCGGAGGAGCTGGCCCAAGTGGCTGAGGAGAGGGAAGTCTGGGCCTCACGCCTTAGGCTAATGCCCCTGCGACCCGACTCCGGATAAGCGGATGATAATGGATGGATGGATAGATGAACCCTTTGATGCATAATGGTCACTACAGTGGACAGGTACTCAAAAGTGTTATTTATTCTTGCTATTAAGCACAGCTGTTGAAGACTTTATTGCATGTGAGCCTCTCCATTTGGACTTCAGTAAGTCAAGCCAAAATATTTCATGTTCAGATTGCATGCTGTCCACTGAGATGGACATGTAATAAATTATTTGTAAATTAAATGTTACAAAAATATGTAAATATGAAATTTGTTTCATTCACACCTAAAGATGAATGAAAAAAATTGTTAAAAATTCATGGTTGAAGATTTCATAATTCATGCATCAAAGGGTTAAAAACCAACATACCTAATTAATCCCAATAGCTCTTATTTTAAAATAAAAACCATCATACTTTGGAATATCACCACCTTCCAAAATTTTCCAAACAAATTGAATACAAATTGTTTAGACCATCTTTTACCTGCTGCAGTAAATAACTCCCCCTACTGGACAAACAGATCACTGGACAAACAAAAACCCTCAGAAAACTTAAAAATGTGTCAATTACCATTTGTTTTAATATTTTAGGAAATAGGAACTTTTTTTGGGAAATACTTGTGTTTTGTGTGATGTAATAAATTATCACTCAAGAGGTATAAGTGAATGTGTTTATCTGAGAGGCATTCCCTTCTTAAATTAATTTGAAAACATATGGATTAGCAGTACCATGAGGGCTCACTTGAAGTAGCGCTAAAGTTAAAGCTTTAATATTTCCCCAAAACAATAAACTTGTCACTAATGCATGTTTGAGTTGAAATGAAAAAGGTGCCTTCATACAACAGAACGGAAACTGCAACATTAATAAGGAAGCGGTTGTCTTCTATAAATAAAGATACCTGTAAATTATTCTTCCTACTATATAGAACTACACCTATATAACAAAGAATGTATAATAGATTTAATTTGATTAGATAAATTAAATGGCTGGAAATATTAATATATAATTAAGTACATTTTAGGAGAACATGGTGGTCCACTCCATCTTCAGAACATGGTCTTCGGTTTGTGTTGATGCACATTTGTAACAGTCCAACAAATTCATGCAACAGAAATGGTTCAAACAGCTGCTACTGAAGGAGAAGAGACAAAACATTCAAGTATCAAAAACTAGTGTAAACAAACCTATCTGCAGTACGGTACATCACTAATGTAGTGGGAATAATGCATCATCATCATCATCATCAGTGCTGATGTTAGTGAAACACCAATGGGCGTGAACAGAGTTGTGAACAAATATATTGATTTTCTGTGCATCCTAATGTAAAACTAAATACTTCATAATATCTCTGAGTGAGAGTAAATTCTCATGGTGCTCCATGTGGAATCCAGAGGACTTTATTCTGCTCCTGCTCCACAATGGTCACGATCTGAGTGCAAATGTTGGAGACGCTGCCTCCTTGGACAATGCCTGCAACACAGTGGGGGTGGGGAAGGAAATCAAAGCATGCCAGTCAAATTTGGCTTAAGTGGGAAACATTTTTTATTATCTTATCTCGTATCATTATTTTATTCATCAATCATCAAAATTGCACAGCAGACATTGTTAAATAATTGTTTACACCCAAGGGCGACAGTTTGTTTTAAAACCGGCGAGGACGATGTACACGAACATGTATGTGGCTTGAAAAATAGTGGGGAAAATTATTCTTATTTACTTATACATAAATATTTTATGGTTTTTTTTGCAATTTGCACCGCTGTGTATCAACAGGTGATTCAAATCTGAGATTTGTTCAATAAATAAAAGAAAAACCAATTACAAGATGAGCGCCTAACCTCTGAGCCACAGCAACGCCTACAAGCTAGCTCAGAAAATTACAGGTAGCTTACCCATGTCGGGTTTAAGTTACTGTAACTCGTTTCATACACCAGAACCAAGCCGTCTGATCTGTGATCCACAGGTTAATTTAAAAAAAAAATCTAATAAAAAAAATGTTGCAGTCTCACAATTGGGTCGTCCGAGAGAGAAAAAATGGGACCAACAAACTGTGCTGTAAGTGCAGCTCTAACAGTAAAACTGACAATTCATGTTCGATATTAGCTTAAGTGTTAGCTAGTGTTTACTATTCAGCATGCTGATTACCGACTGGATAGGACAGATTTCCCAGCATGCCACTCTCATATGTGTTGACGATTAAAATAAAGTCATCAATTATGGTTTGTTTTTATTCAAAGTGAAAGTATCATTGACAAAAAGAATTATAGACCCACATGTATCAAAGAAAATTAGACTATAGTCCCTCGCTACAACCGGCTGCCGTTTTATCAAGTTAGCAGGAACCAGTTGAACAGTTGGACCCGAACCGAACGTACGGAGTGGTGCACCTGGTTGTTATATGGTTTACGCGGTGCTGCTATGGCCGTAATATAATCAGCATTCAGTGTTCTAGCGGTGTTTTTGTGAGGAAAACCACTCAGGCTGCACATAAACACGTTCAAGCAGCTCACTTTGGTAAAGAGAAAACGAATAAACACGCCTGAAACAAATGTTACCTTTAGCAGAACTGTGCATGCTTTAGTTTAATAGGGCATTCAGAGTGTTTAAATGAGAGAAAAGTGTCAAAATATTAATGCCTGTCTGAGAAAAGTGTATAAAGTGTGTAGTTAGGGATTTTACAGCCTAAAACATCTACAATAATTGCAAAAAATAAAGCTGTCTACTTCGCAGATTTCACCTTTGCGGATTATTTAACCCCCGCAATAAATGAGGGACCACTGTAGGTCTAAAGTCAACAGCAAACAAGCGACACCATGACTGAAACAGGTTATAGAGTTGGTTAAGAAGAACTCATTTTGGTGTTGAAGGGTGGATCTTATTAAAGAAACACAGATGTGTACACTCTTCATTAAAAAACTTTGTTGTGACTGGTGAGGACATGTCCCCAGCTAAACTGATGCCTCTGCTTATACTATAATCAATAATACAAGTTATTGTGGCAACAAGACATTCTGGACGGGATCTATTTCACCCAACAGAGGCTTTTCGGTAAACCATCTACAACATGTAGGATTTGAACCATTTATAACCTTTACACAGAAAACACACTTCATGAAATATCCTTTAAACTTAGGCCGGTATGCCATCAGCTCCATTTCAGCAGATTCTGAATATAATTATTATTGTGGTATTTATGTGAACGTCAGGCAGTCACTTGTCCTTGCTTAAAGGGATAGGGGTGTGTTTGCTGCCATAATCTTTTCCCTTAAGTTACCTTATTTTATA